TACTACTATGATATATATATATATATATATATATATATATATATATATATATATATATTATGAGGGGGTTGGAGCTGGGCTGAAGTCATTTGGATACAACTCAAATTTTATTACGAGAAGTTTTAAAGTACTGTAAAATTTTGTTCACAATTTAAATGAAATTGATTAAATTTCATTCCTCATCAGAACACCGCATGTTTAAACAAATACATAACTATCTCTTTAATTTGTGAATTTTAATTAACTTTTCTAAACTCTGAATTATTAATAGATATAATTTTATATTTAAATGTTCTTATTTGATAGTCTTTATTTATATATGATTTATCGCAATTGAGTGAGATACACCTACTGATCACGTATATATATTTTGTTCATGTAACAGTTTTTAAATTTTATTTTATTTTTTAAAATTAATAATTTTTAGATATTTTTATAATAATTTTTTCTTGAAATAATAATATTACAAGATTGAAAATGTTTTTTCGGTAGTTTATAACCTTGGTGCAGTTGTCATAATTAAATCTGTGATTTGATTTGATAATATAAACAAATGTTATACTAATTATAATATATGACATATTTTGCATTATCATATCAATAAAGAATATCATAGAATATCTTCAAATAAAGCATGACAAATATATGTATGATCATAAAGAGTGAGAGGTTGGATGTAGTAGATATGAGAGAGAGAAAAAAGATGTAAACGAATTAAGTATATGAGAGAGGTAACTAGATAGGAAATGACGTAACTTCAGGTTATCTAAAATATGATCTTAGATATATGAGTGTGTAGTTAGATTAGAGTCTATTTTATTATTATTGAAAATATTTTACATTGGCGTGACACACATGTGCATCACATATACTCTAAACTAGTTGAAAAATAAAAGAAAATTTATAAATAGATAGCTTGAGGAGGAATTATTGATTAACTTTATTTGATTGTTTATTTTACTTCTTTTTAAGTTTGTAAATGTCAAAAAATTAACCATATAACACTAAATAGTCATTTATATCATTACTAATAATCGATAACAATCTTGAAGTCATAACTATACAAATATAACCAAGAAACAGTAGTATCATATGCTCTAGTCATATGTATATATTTTCAGACTTATCATTTGAATTTTCAATTGTGGCAGTTTTAATTATTGGTGATATTTATAAATCTTGTTTGGATCACTGTAATTGTTCTTTTGTTATTTTAGTACAATCATATTCCTATTAATTATTAATTTAGCTGCAATTCTTTTCTATTTCTTAGTCAGAATGATATAAATTGATGAAAGAAAACAATTAACATACAAAATTAATTAAAGGTCACATAAATTCTAAAATTAGAAAATATCTACCTTTGAAGTATTGGATTTGGTATTTATTATCTCTATTATATTGACATTTCAAATTTTCTTCTTACTATATATTATTTTGAACACATAAATTAGACTATATATATATATATATATATATATATATATATATTCATTAGAGTAAGGTATTAAAAAAAGTCTTCATGAATATTATTGTACAAGGAATTAGGAGGATTATTTCAGTATTAATTTTAAAATTAGGTTTCTATATCTTGAATTTTGTGTGATGTATTACTTAACATTAGTATAATTTTGTTTTAAAATTTTAAGTATCATTCATCTCATATAAAATATAAAATTAATATAAAAAAAACTTGTGTTTGAATCAAATAAAACCTAAACAAGTTAGAAAAGGGGTATAGGAGAAAAAAAATAAAATAGGGTGACCTCTATGCCCCCTTGTCTCTTTATGTTTTTTCGTAATGTCTTAATTTATGGACTAAATTGTAAAACATATCACTATAAATAACAAACAGAAATGTAAAATTAAAACATAAATCATTATCGTGATGAAAAAATTAAAAGATAGAGCAAAAAGTGAGTCCACAAATTAAATAATAAATCTTTTACATTAATTATTAAAGCGAGCAAAATGACTCTTTTCTCCTTTTAGTAAGACGACCATGAGCATGACTAGTTTCTTTACATCACGAAATCTCAATTGTTGACTTGGAAGGAGTCTGCAAATGCATGTTTATTGAGTTATCGATATCAGTTATCGCTTCAGAAAAATTATTTTAAGAAATTGAATCAATAATAGAATCATGTTACTGTTCCCCTTATCCATCCGCTTTGTTTTTTTTTTTCTTCATGCTAGGGAGGGGAAGAATATATGTAGAAAAAATTTTATGATGTGGGGTTGGAGATGGGGTGGGGTTATTTGGTGACAACTCAATTTTTATTAGGGAATGTCTTAAACTATTATTAAATTTTGTTGGCAATTTTACTTCATTTATTTTTGTTATTGTACAGTTATTTATTTTATAGAAAATTAGGATAAATTAATTTAATCAATCATAGATGAAATTGACTAAATTTCAATCCTCATTAGAACATTCATGTTTAACAAAATAGTCAAAGACCTCTATAATTTGTGAATTTTATTCAAATTCTTTTTTAAAAACTAAACTATTAATAGGTATAATTATTTATTTAAATTTGCTTATTTGATAGTCCTTATTTACATGATTTTATCGCAATTGAGTGAAATACACATATGTGTCAGATATAAAACTGCATATATTTAGCTGGCTTAACTTCAACATAAAACTGCATATATTTGCAGATGAAAAAAATCAGATGGTGCTACTAATGTGGACATCAGGACGGGATGGTTGCAAGTACAAAAAAAAAATGCACCCTTTAGAACTATTAAGAAATATTCTATGTTGCAAGCTAAATGATCCAAACAGTTTTATTACTAATTCGAAGCAGTAACAATAGAGAGCTAACTACCCGACATGATGTACCAAATTCCTCATTCCTACGAGTTGATTTAGAGGTTACCTATAAAATTATTCAATGAATCATTTAATCAACTAAGCCCCCAACCCTAACTCACGGGTTAAATACATAAATGGGAAAAAACAAATTTGCAGGGTGGGGAACATGGAACAATCTGTTGCCAATCTGTGTTAAGAAAATCAGAAATTACTAGTTGTAATAAATCATTCAGAAACACGAAGTAACTGAGATTTTTAGAACCAGTAAATAAGATGAACAGAAATTTATTTGTAAAAATAATTTAATCTGTAAAACTTACCAGAATCTTGAATACTCTTTTTTGATAATTTAGGAAGAAAATCAAGTCCACTGAATTCACAGTGTCCCCTTAAGAAAATTATTCCCCTCTAGTATCCGAGGTTTGATTTGGAATGTAACCTCCCAGGGTAAAATGATCTTAATCAGTAGAGTATAGATACCAAAACCTCTATTGTAGCGAATCAATCCACAGCAGGAAAGTACAAGAAGAAAAATGTGTTTTTTAAGAAGTAGGAAGATCAGAAAATTCGTTAGTTAATATTCTGAAGACTGAATGGTATTTATAGGCAAGAATAATATATTCTGAAAGGTTGCAACCCTTTCAGAATTGACACAACCATTAATGAAAGGTTGCAAACTTTCAAATGGTATTGACTGTTCCTGAAAGTTTCAACCTTTCAGAACAGTGGTGGGAATTTTTAAATATAACAAAATTTAAAACGGAGTTGAAAACATTTCGGTTAATATCTGTTATCAACTGATTAATTGAAAATAATTTTTGGCCATTTAATTAATTAAATAAATAATTAAAATAAATTTGTCCAAAAAATTATCTCTCGATTAGCCAAAGCCAAAGCCGAAGCCGAAGCCGAAGTCGAAGCGAGCGAGCGACGACGATGAATGCGCGAGGGGGGTCCCTCTTTCCAACCCTTTTAATGATTAATAGGAGTGTTTATTCATTTAAACTCTCCTATTTTCATTTCCATTACCGATGAGGGACTATTGCCTTTTTTATTAAAGCATTAGAGGACTTTTCAAGTTCCCAACCTTTCAAGTTCTAAACTTTTCAAATTCCTCTCCTTCCCTCTATTTCCCATCAATTCTTGCTACATACCCAACAATCCCCCACATTGATGGGGAATAGTTATAACATAGGAATGCACGGACAATTGTGTATTTTACAAGCAAGGATTAATTCCATCTGGATAAGTAGGTTTCCCCTTGGACTTTCCGTAGTGAACATATGTCGGATATACTCGGTCAATCGGTAGATGTGATATCTTTGAACCGTCGAACTTTGGTGTATACCTAGACAACCATATGTCACACAATTAACCCTTTACTATTTATGATTCTTACGGTTGTGTTCGTTTCAGCCATGAATACCTCCTGGTTTCATGAGTGTAGAGAATAGGTTTTTGACATAAAATTCTCTTTGAAGCGGCTTCCACTTCACACTCACATAGGTGATTTCTAACCGTGTCATCTCGTAGATACACTATTTGGTCAAATCTACCAAACCTAGCAAATCATTAAAAAAAAATTTAAGCTTTATTACCTCATTAACAAGCCTTAAAATCTTAACCTTTTCCTGA